GGGAAAGAGCCTTGAGGTTTTTTTTTTTTTAATTTTTGGTGTAATGATAGTCCCGTGGTTGTGGTTAAGGAGGGGAATCCTTATCTTTTAGTGACACTCTATGAAACGCAGAGATGACGTGATATCTGCGATCTACTCCAAATGAATGAGGTGGGAGGCGTGTGGGGATAAAGGAAACGATTGGTGCTCGCTGTGTTTTGGGTACGTTGTGTGTGTGTGTGGGGGGGGGGAAGTCACTGTCCTTTCACATGTGTTTGAAGTTTTCAATAATGAAAAGCTGAAGAAAAGGTAATGCTCTTTTAAATGCACTGATGAACAGACAGGCATGCCCGAAAATAAGGGCAATCTTCTGGGAGAAAAAACAAACAAGAAGGAGAGGGGGAGAAAGAGGAAAAAAAGCATCTGTCCTCCGAGCAGAGAGGACTTTGCTGACCTGAGCCCTTGGTGTCCAGTGGGGTGCAGGACAGAGGGGCTTGGGCCAGAGCGACACGGAAAGTGTGTTCCGAGACATTTCCATAAAACCGGGACTCTCACATCGCTATGCTCTCAGCAAAAGGAGAGTCAAGGGAGCAGTTGTATTGGGAAGGGTTCTAGGGGTTAAAAATATCCCCACCCCCTACATCGCTGGCCTTCAATTTGTAAGGTGAGTTTGGGACTCAAATGGAAACTTCCTGTGTGGCCCAGAAACAGCCTACTATACATGACAGCCTAGTATAGGGGAAAACCCCCAGCAGAATTAGAATCTCAAGGTCTTAATATATACAGTCATCCACTCAACAAATGTTTATCCAGAATCTCACTGCTGTGGGCAGTGGGGACACAGCTGCAAACTGGCTAGAATATCAGGATTCCTAGATAGAGAATAGAAAAGAATTGCGTTTATCATGTTTACAGATCTATGAGAAGAAATTGTGAACTTGATCAAGGAACAAGATACAAGTATAAAAGAACAGGCAGGTTTGAAGTGGAATCAAGTAGAGCTTCTGGGGGAAAAAAAATCCAAAACTTCGAAATTGAACTCAGTGGATGAGTTAAATATTAGGTTAATCGTAGTTAAAGGTAGATCTAAAGAACTTATCTAGAACGCAAAGATGTAAAAGATGTCAGATGCAGGGCACAGAGTGTCTGAAGTTCCAGAAAAAAATTGAGAAATTGGAGTGAGGCAGTATTAAAAAATAATGGCTTAAAAGCTCCCACACTTGATCAAAACCATGAAATCGCTGCTTAAAAAGTTCAAACGAACAAAAGCCCTTACAAATAGAAGAAATAAAGAAATCCAGAGCTGTCAAGCCACCGAAAGGCATGGAGGAATCTTAAATGCATATTGTTTAGTCAAAGACGCAGGTTTGAAAAAGCTACATACCCTGTGATTCCAACTCTATGACACTCCAAGAAAAGCAAAGCTATGGAGACAGTTAAAAGATCAGCAGTTACCAGGGGTTGAGGGGAGTGGGGAGGGATGAATAGGTGAATGCGTCTATTCACGTCTAACCATAAGAGATTTTTTAGGGTGGTGAAACTATCGTGATACTGTAACGGTAGAAACGTGCATTTGTCCAAATCCATATAATTATACGACACAAAGTGTGAACCCTAATGTAAACTATAGACTTAAGTTAATAATAATGTGTCAATATCAGCTAACCAACTGTAGCAAATGTAGCATACCAATGCAAGATGTTAACAGTAGGGGATCCGTGTGTGTGTGTGTGTGTGTGTGTGTCTGTGTGTGTGTCTGTGTGTGTTGGGATGGGGGGTATATGGAACTCTCTGCACTTTCTGCTAAAATTTTTGTAAACCTAAAACCACTGTAAAAAAGAAAGTCTGTTAATTAAAAAATAAAAAAGAAATCCTATAATTGAATCACTCTGCTGTATACCAGAAATTAACACAACACTGTAGAGGAAAAAAAAAGAAATCCAAACCCCGAATTACTACAGTGAAATTGCAGAAAACCAAGGACAAGAGAAGATCTTCAAAGCAGCTACAGAGAAAAGCAGAACATGTAACAAACAGGCCAACAGCTGATTGATCACCAACCACAATGGAAATTAGAAGGTGGTAACAAGCTTCCAAAGAGGACAGAAGGACAATCTGCCTGGAATTCCATACCCAGCTAAAAAGTCATGGAAGAGTGAGGGTCAAATAAGATACCTTCAAATAGACAAGAACCAGGGTGCTCTCCCTGAGGGAGCCGGCCTGGGCTCTGCCCTCCAGGGTGGGGGTGCCATGGCCTCTCACCTTTGCAGTGGGCGTAGGGCATGGTAAGGGTGTAATTCTCCACCCGGTTCAGGAAGGTGAGGGTGGCCTTGCCGTCCAGCAGAGCTGACAGTGAGTTCCCTGCAGAGACGGGGCAGTGGGACCAGTGAGATGAGACTGATCCTCGGGACCTGGGCCCCCACCTCCACCCCAAGTCACAGGACCTGAGCTCCCTTCCAACAGGTGGAAAGAGTCCCAGGCACCTCCAGCTGTGTGACTGTGGGTGGGTTGCTTAACCTCTCTGAGCCTCAGATTCTGTAAAGGCCCCGTCCAGGTCGTACAAGTCATTCATCCTGAGGAGTTACCTAAGTTGCCATGTGTTCATGTTTATTTCACTTACTAAAGCAGGGATTCTTAGGGTGGAGGCTTCGAACCTTTTCAAACTAGGGCCTCTGCTCTGATTTTAAACACCAGCGGAGAGTGGGTACGGCCCGCTCAGGGCTGAGAGTCACAGCCACAGTCAGTGACGGGAGCGCAGGGGTGGAAAAGGTGGGCCGAGCCTGTACGCCCTCTGCAGTCTGCTGGGCACACAGAGCACCTGCCCACCAGTGAGAACAATACAAAGGTCGACAGGACGGGAAAATGCAGACAGACCCACGGTGCCAGGCTCTCGAGGGGTGCTGCCCGATAGAATGTCGTGTGATGATGAAACTCTTCTATCCCATGCAGCACGTGGATACTTGCACTGCGGCCAGAGCAACTGCGGAGCTGCCTTTTAAGTTTTATTTCATCTGAATCAATTAAAGTAGCCACATGTGGCCAGTGGTGCTGAATTGGACAGCCAGCTCTAGATGGCACCTTCACATGGCTCCTTCCCGTAATCCTCCCAGCATCAGTGCAAACTCTATGGCTGAGGGATGAGAGGCCGGGGGGAGGGGGCTTTGGAGGGCTCTGCCTGACCCCAGGTTCTGAGCACTTTACCCCTCGTGGGCCCTGGCTAGGAGAGGCAGAGAGGGACACGAACATGGCCACCGTGGGAGGCCTTGGTGACCACCGAGTGCAGCAGGTCAGTCCTCCCCCCATTTCTTCGAGGCCCAGGGGAGCCCCCCTCACCGTAGAACCGGGACTTGGCTGTGATGCTGCCACTGATGCAGAAGCCGTCCTTTCGGTTGCTGACGTGGAAGGCGGACACGGGTGGGTGGTGGGACACCTGTGGGTGGAGAGGTGGCTCCTGTGACAGCCCCAGTAGCAGGCAGGCCCGGTCCCCCACCACATCCCTCCCAGTGCCAGGAGCAGGCGTGAGGGCAGTCCCCATCTCTCATCCCCAGCATCCAGCGAAGCCAGGCCTGAGTCCTGGGGCCCGGGGTGGGGGGAGCTGAATGCAATCCCCGCATCCCCCCAGGAAAATGGGATGCGCTGTCCCCCCTCCCTAAGGGAACACTTTCTGCTGTCACAGCCGAGATGGTGCCTGCGCCTCCTGGGAGAATCCCCGCTGGCAGCAGTGAGGTCAGAGCTCTTCCAGTAGTCGAACGAACGTGGAGCCACCCAGAAACGTGCCTGGGGGTCAGACTCCCCCTGCCCTCTGCCAGGGCCCCGCCCGCTGCAGAGCCCAGCAGCCAGCCCCGGGTGGCCGGGCCCTTGCCTGCTCAGCTATGTAGAAGGTGTGGCTGTGGTTCTGGGGGTGGAACCAGCAGCAGCGGAAGGTCTCCCCCAGAATGGGGTTGTAGGGCTTCTTGATCCCCTGCAGGCAGTGAACAAAGAGGCTTGTGTGAGAAGCTGGGGGTGGGGCACAGATGCCAGTTGGGACGGAGTGTGGACCGAGGGACAACAAGAGGGGCTGCCTGCTGCCCACAGCCCCGGGGAACCTGCAGGGAGGAGGTCTCTAGAAGGGATGTCTAGTTTCCCACCAGCATCTGGGAACAGCACCCCACTCCTGCTCTGGGGAGACTATGCTTTACCCTTGGTTTACACTCCGGGGGGATGGCCTACGAGGTGCCCTGTCCACGTCTTGGCTCTGAGGGGCACGTGAGACCCTAACCACATCAAGCTCTCCCCGGACCTCAGGGGAAGCCAGTGCACAGCCCACTCAAAGCCCCCTGTGGCTTCTAATGACCTTTCAAGTTAAAGCCCAAATTCTCCAGCCCTGCTATTTCAGTCACTTCCCTGGGTGGGAGGTCAGGGCTTGGTCCCCCATCTCTGGGGACCTGAGACCACTGTGGGGACGACCAGGATCCTTCAGGGTCACGCGAGGTAGGGGATGGCCTTGGGCTCTGGGTGAGGTTGGGTGCCAGGGCGCAGGGCTGGGCTGTAGCTGCGCCCTCCCCGGTCGGCGCTTCTCACCTTGGGCTTCTTGTAGAAGCCGGACAGGTACCACTGCAGCACGAGCTTGATCCGGCTGTAGGCGTCCTCCTCCAGTGCAGCCCTGCGATGGGGTGGGGGAATGCCCTCGCTCCAGATCGGGGGACCTGGGCCACCCTCTGCCCTTTCCCGGCGCCCTCTCTCCTTCCGTTTCAACCTCCATCCACTTGCTGAAAACCCAGGCCCCTCCCCAGCTGCCCAGCCCCCCAAAAGGAGGAGTTTCCCACTCCCCCCGCCACTCCAATCGGGTTTTCCACGGAACTGCAAAATGTCAGGGTGGCTCCAGTGCTGGGGCCGAGAGGGTGCCGCCTCCAGGAAGCCCCCGGGATGCTCTCGCCCTCACCCAGCTCCCTCTGCGGGGGATGCTGAGCCTGCAGCCCCCCTTCCAACCTCAGCCTTCTTCAGCTTGAGGGCACCAATGCCAGGGCTCAGGTGCACAGAAGGTGCTGGGCTCACCTGTGACGGTGGCCCTGACCGGACGTGGGGCTGCCCTGTCCTCCCTGTCCACCAGCTCCTCCCATGGCGGCCGGGCCCCTTGGAGGCAGAGGCTTCAGGGACAGTTTCCTGGGGAGCCTTAGGACGCGCTGTGGGGCAGGCAGGGGCTGAGGGAGCCCGGGGGGAGGGGGCTGTGTCTGGGCACCTCCCCGTCGCTCACCTGGAGAGCAGGTCGGCGTGGTAGTAGTAGTCGGAGAGCTTGTTGAGGAAGGAGCGGGGCTCCAGGACGAAGGTGGGCAGCACCACGCGGGACAGGTCCATGCCCGGCCGTAGCTGCTTAAGCAGGACCCACATCAGACTCTTGTGCTCGTCAGACACCGTCTCTACCTGCGATGCCTCGCCCAGCTGCCGGCAGAGGGACCGTGGTCAGGCTGCAGCCAGAGCCGGGCAGGGAGCCTGGAGGGGGTGGGATGGGGGCCGGGCCCCCACACCCAGTGGGCCTGTCCCAGCCCCACCGGAGCCCTGCATTTTCCAGCAGGCCCGAGGGGCAGCTGCTGGCCCAGGCCGGCTCCCATCTGCCTGGGCTCCTGGCCAGCCTGGGCCCTCCCTACGGTTGGTGCACATCCACCGTGGCTGCTGACGCCTGTGTGGACTTTGCATGATCGGTGCCGTGGTGGCGGGTGCCGTGTGCTCGAGGAGGCCTCCTCCCACGCCCAGCCCGTCTTGTCTTCATGGGGTGACAGCCGCTTCAGGCCTGCACCCCCTTCAGAAGGGCGTCTTCACTTGTCCAGGATCGCAAGGCTAGAGGGGGCCGCCCTGGACCCCTCCTCTCTTCCCTGAGACCGAGGCTCCGAACGCGTGCCACAGAGAGACTGAGCCCCGGAGCTTTGGGCTTTGTCTGGGCAGGGGGAGAGGGGGCAGTGTAGCGGGGTGGGGGGGCTCCATCTCCCAGGCCACACCAACCAGCAAACCCTCAGGTGGGCAGAATGATCTCAGAAAGGGTCATGCATCTGTCTAAAGACAGCTGGCTGGCGGGGCAGGTGCTCCCAGGCAGGGCTGTGCATCGGGGACCGTCCACTCTCGGGAAGTGCCACTGAGCCGCAGTTCCTGGGCCAACGCCAAGCCCCTCTCCCCTCCCCATGGACCCCCATCCCCACCCCCCCGGTCTATGGCTCCAGGGCCTCGGGCCTGGGGTGTGGCTTGACTTGGCTGTGGATCCCCATCCCCTGACCCCCCAGGGAGGCAGCAGAATGGGGTGCCAGCAGCCAGCCCTGCATCACGGCCCATCACCACCCTGCCGGGCCACCTTAGGCAGTCACTCTGCCTCTCTGTGTCTGCACAGCTGTGGCGGAGGCCTAGTGGCACTCGCTTGGACAGCTTGCCTGGGCACTGAGGGGAAGGGAAGCCCCCAGAGGCAGCGGTCATGTCTGACCCCCATGAGGCTGTGGCTCCCTGGCTTTGATGTCCAGGCCAGCTTTGGGGCGCGCATGGCAGCTGCCACAGCTGGGAGTCCCCTGCACCCCCATCCCACCCGCACTCTCTCTAACCCTCTGGCTTCTGCCCCTCGTCTCCACCAAAAGTGCCCCGGTGAAGGTCACCACCACCCCCGTGTCACCCTGTCTCTCCTCCAGCTCCCAGCACAGCTGCCCCTGAGACCACCCCTCCCCTCTCTGCCACGTCTCCCAGGGTTCCTCTTCGGAGCCCCGTCTGTGCTCAGCCTCCGAAGGCTGGGGTGCCTGGGCCCTGGGCCCCTTGGGCTGCCCACCCAAGCCCTATGTCCAGACGGCCCCCTGAGCCCCAGACCCTCCCGTGCAGCAGCGTCTCCCCTGCACATCCAAGCCTGGGACACAGCCGGGTCCCACCCCCAGCCTCCAGCTCTTTCTTCCAGAGCGCCCATCTCACGGGTGGCATCGCCATCAGGCTGGGTCCTGCCCGTCTGCCTCTGGATGCGCCCTGAACCACTTCTCCCTTCCCCACCCCGACCCGGGCGCCGTCAGCTTTGTCCAGACAACAGCTCCTCCTTAGCGGGTCCCAGGCTCCACCTCTGCCCCTTGACCTTCTGAAGATCTCACCTGGACCCCGGCAGGCCGCCACCTGAACCTGCCCTGTGGCCCTCCCAACACCCTCACCAGAGCCCCGCGGCCCTCCCGGCTCTCCCTGAGTCCTGCCATCCTGGCCTTCCCGTGCCCCTGGCCCTCTGGGTGTAGCAGACCCTGCGGGCTCTCCCCGAGGGGACGGCCAGGCGTTGCCTCCATCGCTTCAGGGATGCGGGGTGGGTGCTGGGCGGCGCCCGAGCTCCAGGCAGGGCGGGCTCTCACCTCCCCCAGGTCCTCCTGTTCCTGTACCACGTACGTGGTCCCTCTGTGCGCGGGGCGCCCCGGGGCCTCCAACTGCTCACTCCCGCTCTCGGCCTTCCGCCTGCGGTCCTGGGTCTCCTTATCTGAGTCCTCAGCATTCTCTCTCTCTGACTTGTCTGAGAAAGCGTCGTTCTCCAGGGAGGACCCGTTCAGTCTGGAAGGTGGACGGCGCCCGTGGGTTGCTGGTCACAGGTGAGGCCCTGGCACGCCCACCTCTGGGCACAACCCCTGGTACCCTCACCCGGGGCACCCCTCGCTGCCGGGCGCCTCAGCCCCATCCCTGTGCTGAAAAGCCTTGGTGATGGGCATTTGACACTATAAGCCCCAGTTCACAGGCGAACACCCTGAGGCTCGCCGGTCCACCTCGAGTGGAGGAGGCCTGCCTCCTGGCCTGGGGTTTGGGCAGCCAGACCTCAGCGGTGTTTGCCCCCCATCTTCTCCCCACGTACAAGGAGACCCCGTGCGGTGGTGCCAGGGAGAGCCTGGCCTAGGAGTCCCCAGCAGGCTCCCGGGAGGGGCTGGTCCCTGCCCGCCACGCCCCTGCTCACGGGAACAGGTCCTGGTCGTGGACGGCTGCCGAGGGGGGCAGCCCGCAGAGCGAGGAGGGTGATGCGTCTGGCGAGGACCCGGGCTCCCCGTCGCGGCCCTGCCTGCATGTGCTGAGTCGCAGGAGGCTGGAGCAGCGCAGTGCCAGCTCCAGGGCGTCCAACCAGCAGCGGCCTGGAGTGGGGGGGCGGGGGTCAGGGGCGATGAGCAGCCCCCAGCTGGGGAGGCACCCACTGCACACTGGGGAGCTTCCTGCCCCTCTGTCAGGGAGCCTGCCCGCCCCCATCCCTCCATTCCTCAACAAGGAGTCCCCCACCGGACCCCCCACTCCCAGCACACCGTCAGTCACCCACGTCACAGACAAGGGCTAAGGCCAGGATGGGTAAGTGACCCCCTCAAGGTCATACGCGTAGCAAGCTCAGGCCACTCTGCACACAGAGGCCCTGCGAGCTCCCACCTGTGGCGTCAGGGTGAGGGCCCTCCCTGATGGAAACTGGCCTCCACGGGTCGGGGCAGGAGGGGGTCTCTGCGCTGAGGGCTTTCCTGGCCTGGAGCACAGGGCAGGAGGGGGGCTGGCAGGCTGGGGAAGGGCTGCTGAGCCAAGGCCGCAGACAGGCAGCCCCTGGTGTTGGAACAGCTCCGGGAAGAGGGGAGGGCCAGGCGGGCGGGGAGGCAGGTGGCCAGAGCCAGCTGCCTCCAGCCCCCAGCCCTTATCCTCAGCCCCCTGCAGCCCTTCTGGTAGAGGCCACCCGCGGGCTGGACCTGGGATTGAAGGACCTTGAACTCGGTTCTTTCCTTCTCCAAGCTTCAAAGTGTCTCCGTCTTGGAGACAGTGAATTTCCTTCCCTAACTCTCTGTGGTGCAGCCCAGGGCCTGGCGTTGGGAGGGGCGCGCTGGGGATCGCGGAGGAGGGGCTTGCAGGGAGGGTGGCTCCTGGTTATCAGGAGGACACCCTGCGTCCTGCGGCGGGTTTCACTGCAGGCTTGGCTGGATACCAACCTTCCAACTTTCAGCCAGGGCTGAAAGGTCATGGTGGTGGAAGGTGGGGCGCTCACGGGAGCAGAACCCGCAGGCGAGAGCTGGGAAACCCACCCCTGCCGAGTGGGGCCTGGGGCCCTGACGTGCGTTTTCTGTGGTTGCCACAAGGGACTAGACATCCTGAATAGCACGCATCCTTCGAGCCCATTCCTCCTCCTCCTCCAGGAAGCCCACCCTGATACCCACAGGGGCTGTGGATGCTCTTCCTCCCTGACCATGGCCCCCCACCCCATCAGGGACTCAGCTCATGCTTCAGCCCAGTTGGCCTCGTCTGCTGGTTTGATGGTGTTCTCCCGCACTAGATTGCAGGCTCCATGGGAGCACTAGCTGCCCATCCCATCCCAGGGCCCACGAGGGGCCTGGCACCGAGTGGGGGGCTGGGGAAATGAGAGTGGCATTCAAGGGACTCAGGACGGCCCCCTGGAGCGTGGATGCAGCGTCTGGCCACCAGGGGGTGGCGTGGCACCTTAGGGACGGCCCCCTTCCCCCAGACTCCCAGCCGGGAGGGCCAGAGCCCAGTGGTCAGGCCAGGCTGCCTCGGGCAGGGCCTTGCCTGCCCTGGACCGCTGGTGGGGTGGGAGTCTTACACCAGATCCCTGGGAGGCGCCGGCCCTCAGGGCTCGGCGATGGGGCGGTGTGTGTGGGGTGGGGGGTGGGGGGGGCAGCCGCGTTTACTCGGAACAGCCACTAGAGGGCGCTCCGAACACGTGCGCTGATTTGGGAACCTGGCTCCGTCCCGGCTCCAGCACTTTCTCACCTGCAGTTCACCCAACCTGTCTCCGCATGTGTCAAACGTGGATGGTAACAGTAGCATCTGCTGATTCAGTGGTGCCTGGCACGTGGTTGGCACCCAGTAACTGTTATCTGGTTGCTTTTAAATAAGGTCATCAGATTTGCATAGCAACTGGGGAGACAGTGCTACTGTTCATCTTTTGCCCACGGGGAAGACTGAGGCTCCAGAGAGGGCGCTGGTGAATGGTGAGCTCGTCCACCAGGCTGCCTCCTTGGATGGCGGTGGAGGGGTCCGAACCGGGGTCCCATACAACCAGCCTAAATCCCACCAAGGGCGGGGGGTTCTTCAGGTGGGGTCACCGTGGAGACCAGCAGAGCAGGAAAGTACTCACCGTCTGACTCAGAGGCGGCCCTGAAGATCAGGTAGCTGCTGGGGAGGGGCTGTGTGATGGAGCCCACGCTCTCACCTTTGGGGCCCTGCAGAGGCAGAGACCTGGCGTCACCCGAGGGATGGGCCGGGGATGGGTGGAAACACAGGTCGTGCGGTCATGTGGACCCACACTCAGACACGCGTGGACGCTTCCGGGGCCTCAGGACCCCTAGGCAGGGTCAAGCACCTGACCATGCAGACATGGCAGGCAGCAAGAGAGGTGAACGGGTGGGGTGCTCTGTCTCCCTTCTTAGCTGGTGGTCCCACCCTTGGCTTTCCAGCTCTGAGCCCCCCACTTTAGGGTGGCCAGAATCAGCATGTGCAGATCCAGGACACCCAGTTAAATCTGAATCTCAGAAAAATTACATACATAGTATAAGTATACCCCATGAAATATTTGGGACATTTTTTTTTTTTTTTTTAGATTCCATATATATGTGTTAGCATACAGTATTTGTTTTTCTCTTTCTGACTTACTTCACTCTGTACGACAGTCTCTAGGTCCATCCACCTCACTACAAATAACTCAATTTCGTTTCTTTTTGGGACATACTTATCCTAAAAAAACTTTTTTTAAAAAAAGATTTATTTATTATTTATTTATTTTAATTTATTTTTGGTTGCGTCAGGTCTTAGTTGTGGCACGCAGGATCTTCATTGAGGCACGTGGGATCTTTCATTGCAGAGCGCGGGCTTCTCTCTAGTTGTGGCATACGGGTTTTCTCTTCTCTAGTTGTGGCGCACAGGCTCCAGGGCGCGTGGGCTCTGCAGTTTGCAGCATGGGGGCTCTCTAGTTGAGGCACGTGAGCTCAGTAATTGTGGCGCGCGGGCTTGGTTGCCCTGCGGCATGGGGGATCTTAGTTCCCCGACCAGGGATTGAACCCGCGTCCCCTGCATTGGAAGGCGGATTCTTTACCACTGGACCACCAGGAAAGTCCCTAAGAAAACTTTCTGATCTTCCTCTAAAATCCAAATTTAACTGGGCATTCAGGATTTCACTTGGCAACCTGACCCCCTTTGGTCCTGGGCTGGGCAGCCCCCGGGTTATGAGGGTGAGGTCTGGGTTCAGAGCAGCTGCCCTCACATGGCCGCGTTCCTCAGCCTCTGGACACGGCTTGAGGCGTGATCTCATCCCATGGGGCCCCAGGCCCTGAGCGCCCCCAACCTCCGGTGACCACATCTGATCCCCTGGCCACTGAGTGACTTAACCCTTGGAACTGTCAGCCCATTTCTGGACTCCGTGCCGCTGGGGCCCCAGGATGAGCCTCCTGACTGCCCATCTGTGCTGTCCTCCCACACAGCCACCTGCCCCCGGGGGCTCTCTCCTTGCCTGACCCTCCCGAGCCCCAGGGCTCGCACTGTGGTACCTTCACGGCCCAGACGGACTGGTCCAGTGGGTGGAACAGCTTGAAGCAGAAGCCGTCCTTCTTAGAGGGCCTCTCAATGAGCTCGCAGCAGTGCAGCAGGACCGTGCCCACCCACTGGCCCACCTTGGGCGTCTTGTAGATGAGCAGCACCCCTGGCTTCAGCACGCACCACAGTTTGGTCCAACTTTTCAGGGTCCCGCGGATCTGGGGGGAGGGGCGCTGCCGTCCATGCCTGCCCAGGACCCAGGGGCATCTGGACGGCTGGGGGAGGGGCAGATACACAGGGCTCTGGGCTCCGGGCAGAGTTCTCTTTTAGGATTTAACAGGAACTCTGAATGATGGTGAATCCAAAGGAAGATGCTGTCGCCAGATTTACTGGTGAAGTCCACAGAGCTCAAGTTCAAGGCCCTGCCAGGGCCCTGGGGGGGACTGGCAATCGGATGTGACTGTTGCAATTGTCAGCTTTGTGATTTTGAACCCTGTGATCATTTCTTTTCTCATCCTAAATATTCACTTTAGTACTTAATTTTTTATTCATAATTTTGTGGAGCAGAAAAAAGGAGCCACGCGGGCCCAGGGCTCTGTAGACGCCCAGGCTCCCTGGTCCCCTTGTCTCCTCTGCCCCTCGTGGCAGCCCCGGGATCCGGCAGCTTTTCCCCCTCTGTACGGAGGGGGAAACCGAAGCTTGGGAGCTGAGGGAATCTCTCGCTGCCTCAGTGAGGTCTGAACACAACCCCGGTCCTTTCTCCCAAAGTCCGAGTCTCACCTCCCTCCTGTATCCCAGCAGGGGGCTCTATGGGCACTCTGGGAGCCCCGCCAGCAGGTCAGGGCCCCCCACCTTAATTAGAAATAGGGTTTCTGCAGATGTGACCAAGTGAAGATGAGGCTGCACCGGAGCAGGGTGGGCGCTGGTCCAATGACCGTGTCCTTATAAGAGGAGGAAAGGACACAGACACAGGAGGAGGCCAGGTGGCCACAGAGGCAGAGGCTGGAGGGACGCGGCCACAAGTCCAGGGAGGCCTGGGGCCCTCAGAAGCCGGCAGAGGCAGGAAGAACCCTCCTTTAGAGCCTTGGGAAGGAGCCTGGCCCTGCCAGGACCTTGACGTTGGACTTTGGCCTCTGGACCTGGGAATCATCTTTGGTTGTCATAAGCCACCAGCTTGTGGTCATTTGTCAGGGCAGCCCCAGGACACATACAGTTTGCAGCAGCCAGCATGCCTAACCGTCTCCCGAGTGGCTGGTGACCCTGCACTGTCCCTGGGGGAGGCCTCCCGAGGGAGCCAGGCCAGTGCTGGAACACACACGTGCTCACCTTCAGGCTGTCGGCCATGATGACTACGCTGGGGTCCGTCAAGGCGCTGAGCAGCTGCTTGGTGGCACGTTTCTTCTCCTGGCGGTAGCTCTCCTTCTGTGCCTGGGCCCAGGGCACCCGCAGGTGGGTCAGGGGAGGAGGCCCTGGGCTGGCCCTCCCGGGGGGCCTTCTACTCGCAAGGGCCTCCACCGTCTAGCCAGGGGACGAAGAGCGGGGCAGGGAGAGGACAGGAAGAGGGGGTGTGGAGGTGGCCAGGGTGCAGTCTGTCCCCCTCCCTTTGGCAGGCTGGGGTGGAGGTGTGGCCTCACTGGCTGGGGTGCCCACTCATCCAACAAACGACACACCGTGCCCCTTCCCCAGGCCTGGGCCCACCTTGAGAGCTTCCTTCTTGGTGACCTTGGCTGTCAGGGACACACATTCCCTGTCGGACCCATTGCACAGCCTGTATTCCGCCTGCAAGAGAGACTCAAGTTGCTGGAGGGAGGGGAGGAAAGGACAGGTGTGCGGTGAGGGGTGGTGTCGGGGCGCAGGAAGCAGGAGGTGGGAGAAAGGCGTCCCTCCCCCTCCCTGCCCCGGCTGGGGGGGGCGGGTGGACAGGCCTCAGGAGGTGGGCACGTGAACACGAGCTGGGGTGGGTCACCGGGGGCATGTCTGCGGTGGACCCCCTCCCTGGGGGCCTGCACTGGGCACATGGCAATGACCCTCTCCGTGGTGCCCGGGAGGCGTCCATCTTAGCCACCACCTGGCGCCCAGCCTCTGGTCAGGGAGGGCGCACGTATGCAGTGGGGACCCCCATCCCTAGTGCCCTGACAGCAGCTCCTGGGGGGGGCAACGCCCAGGCCCCCTCTCGAGCCCCCGATGCTTGCAGGGAGGAGGTGCAGCCGGCCACGCCCACCGGGCAGCTGCATCCAGGGATCTGGGAGCAGATGGGGCCTCGGTCCTTTAACAGACGGGGAAACGGCAGCCGGGGTGGGGGAGTGGGGAGAAAAAGCCAGGACTAAAGGCTATGGGCCTGCTTCTGTGGAGCCTGCGAGCCCAGAATGGGGTTTACAGTTTTTTTTTTTTTTTTGGCCATGCTGCACGGCTTGCAGGATCTTAGTTCCCGGACCAGGGATTGAACCCATGCCCCCTGCAGTGGAAGCCCAGAGTCCTAACCACTGGACTGCCAGGGAAGTCCCAGGTTTTACATTTTTAAGGGGATGGGGAAAAAAATCAACGTAAGATGTGAAAATGATGAAATTCAGATTTCCGCGTCCACCAATCAGGTTATCGTGGCCACCGGATGCGCCCATTGTTGGCCTGCTGTCGTGGCGGCATTGGCGCTAACGGCCACGGCAAGTTCTTGCAACAGAGCTCGTGTGGCTGCCGAGCTTTAAACGTTCCCTTTCTGGTCCTTTGCAGAAATTTGCCTGCCCTGCTCGTCCTCTGGGCTGAGTGCCTCCACCCCGAGCCTCCAGGCAAGGAAGGGAGGCCCGGAGGACCAGAGGCCAACGGCCCTCAGCTCCCTCCCTGCGCGAGGTGAGCAGCTTGGCAACGCTCTCGACCGCTCCGCCGTTGCCAGGTCCTCTCAGGTCTTTACTGCCTTTGCTCACCTACTTCTCACGACCACCCAGGAGGCGGGCCCAGTTACTACCCCCATGCGATGGATGAGGAAACTGAGGCACAGAGAGGTGCAGTGTCCCCCGAGGCTGCAGAGCCAGGGGCAGGGCTGCGGCCGGAACTGTCCTGGGGACTGGCTGTCCCCACGGCACTACGTGCCAGGCATGGCCTCGGGTGCTGGGGTTAGAACAGAGGGACAGGCCGCCCCCAGGGAACAGGGGGTGAGAGAGGGGGTTGGAGAGCACGTGTGTGCACGGGAACCACCGCATCTTCAGTCATTCTTACTACCCATACCCTGCAGGTGAGGAGGCTGTGGCACAGAGAGGCTCAGAACCTGCCAGAGGTCACACAGCTCGGGAGGGGCCGAGCTGGGGCTGAACTCAGGCAGTCTCACTCTGAGTGCACTCTCTGAGACAAGTGAGGACATTCGGGATCCCAGGAAGACAGGGACATGGGACGAGGCGCCTGGGGGACTCTGCTCTATAAGCACCCTCTGTGTTGAAGCAGGAGTGGTGAGAAGGAGCTGAGTGACAGGCCTCTGGGGGCTGGGCTGACCCTCCAGCTCCCGGGGAGCTGGGATTCTTATGCCTGGTGCCCCCAGCTTCCTTAGCACATGCTGTTCCCCCAGCCTGAATGCTCTTCCCTGTTGCTGAGCAACCCCTGCTCCTTCCTCAGGCCCCGCTGAGCTGCTTACCCGGGAGGAAGATGGCTCTGCCCACCCTGCTGGCATCAGACCCTGATGACACCAGCCACCCCTGGCCGACTGAGCATCTCCTGCAATTACAGCCACACAGACGTTTCTGCTTACTGTCGAGAGCTCCGCTGGGCTTGGCTTCATCCCAGCATCCCCTTGGCACCAGCAGCTGGGAGCTCGGTGAGCATCTTGGATGAATGGATGAGTGAATGAATGAGTGAATGAACCCTCTGCCAATTCCCTGCCGCCCAGCTTTCCACCAGATGCGGCTGAAAGGAGCTTGTTGGGGGCAACAGAGGAAGAGAGAGGTGCTATTGGGGACAGCGGGGCTGGGGGGGTGGACAGGATGGGGCGTCTGTGCCCTGCGACCCTCTGCTCCTGGACCCCCCAAGGCCCACTGGGCTGGGTCACTGCAGACAGTGCCCCTACTCCTCCATCCTAGAGCCATGCTGGGGACCCCACCCAGGCCCACCAGACCCCCCTGCTCATTCCCGAGGGCCACTGAACCTCAAGGCACAGTGGGGCGATGATGCAGCACCCCCAGGAGTGAGACACGCTGCTCAGAACCATGAACGCGGGAGTCTGACCAAAAACTTAAAAATTCCTTTAAGGGCTTCCCTGGTGGCGCAGTGGTTGAGAGTTTGCCTGCCAATGCAGGGGACACGGGTTCGTGCCCTGGTCCGGGAAGATCCCACATGCCGCAGAGCGGCTGGGCCAGTGAGCCATGCCCGCTGGGCCTGCTCATCCGGAGCCCCGCAAGGGGAGAGGCCACAGCAGTGAGAGGCCCGCGTAACGCAAAAAAAAAAAAAAAAAAAATTCCTTTAAAAGAGTGACTTGGGGAGCTTCCCTGGGGGCGGGGGGAGAGTCCGCCTGCCGATGCAGGGGACGCGGGTTCGTGCCCCGGTCTGGGAAGATCCCACGTGCTGCGGAGGGCTGGGCCTGTGAGCCATGGCCGCTGAGCCTGCGTGTCCGGAGCCTGTGCTCCGCCACGGGAGAGGCCGCAGCAGTGAGAGGCCCGAGTACCGCAAAAAAACCCAAAAAAACAAAAAAACACCACAGTGAGACATCACTTCACACCTACTGGGTTTAGAAAAGAACAGAAACAAGTGTTGTTGAGGATGTGAGAAACGGGAATCCTTACGCTTTGCCAGTGGGGCTGTAAAGTAAAATGGGCAGCCACTGTGGAAAACAGTTCAGCACTTCCCCCAAAAGTCAACTATAGAATTTTCTAGAATTCCATCTTGCCACAGAGTTTCCGTGATGGCCCAGCAATTCCACTCTGAGATATAAAGCCAAAGAACTGAAAACAGGGACTCAGATACTTGTACACGCCATGTTCGTAGCAGCTCTGTTCCCAACAGCAGAAAAGTGGAAATGGCCCAAATGTCCTCCCACTGATGAGTGGACGAGCCGCCTGTGGTCCATCCATCCAGGGGCACTGACACCTGCCACAGCCTGGATGGGGCTCAGGGAGACAAGCCTGGCACAAAACCCCACACATCGCATGGCTCCGTTTATATGGAATGTCCAGAATAGGCAAATCCGTAGAGAGGGAAAGCACAGTGTTGGCTGCAGGGATGACTGCTAAGACGGTGTCTGTTTGGGGTCATGGAAACTAGACAGAGGTGATGGTTGCACAATATTGTGAATGCACTAAATGTCACTGAATTGTTCATCAAAAATGGTTAATTTTGTGTTATTTGAATTTTATCTCATGGAAAAACTATATAATATATATACACATATGTGTGTGTATATACATAAAGAACTGCTTGTATATTACATATCTGATATGTTACTATACGTGATATTATACTGTGTTATGCTATATTATATTGTATATGATATCTAATATTAATATATTAAATACTTTATATTTATCATTTATATATTAGAGTTTGTATCTTTCCCCAAGCTATGCCTTTTAGAACAGTCTCAAGTCGCTCTTAAGAGTCTGGGGGGCGGGCTTCCCTGGTGGCGCAGTGGTTAAGAATCCGCCTGCCAGTGCAGGGGACACAGGTTCGAGTCCTGGTCTGGGAAGATCCCACATGCCGCGGAGCAACTAAGCCCGTGCGCCACAACTACTGAGCCTGCGCTCTAGAGCCTGCATGCCACAACTACTGAAGCCCGCGCACCTAGAGCCCGTGCTCCACAAGAGAAGCCACCGCAATGAGAAGCCCGCGCACCGCAACAAAGAGGAGCCGCCGCTCGCCGCAACCAGAGAAAGCCCACTCTCAGCAACAAAGACCCAACGCAGCCAAAAATAAATAAATAAATACATTTAAAAGAATTGTTAAAAAAAAAAAAAAAAAGAACCTGGGGGTGTCCAGAGCTGTCCTTTCTTTCCTCCCTCAGCCTCTGACACGTTCTAGACTTTACTTGTTTTGTCTGGTGCCTGTCTTCCCTCTAGAACATAAGCTCCAGGAGAGAGGGACTTTGTTTTACCGACGACTCCATCCCCAGCACCTACAGCGGTGCGGGCCTTGCCCAGAGAGGATGCCCAGACATCATTTCTGAATGGGTGAAATCTGAAATTTGAACCGAGTGTTCCTGATAGCATTTGATGTGGTCTTATTGGGTTTAATGTTTTATTGGGCTGTAGAAGGAAGAGCCATGTTTTCATGAAATAAATCTGTGTCTTAAAAAAATAAATGTGTCCGTAGACAGATGACTGGACAAACAAAGTATGGTCCAGCCACACAGTGGAATATTATTCAGCCTTAAAAAGGAAGAAAATTTTGACCCAGCTACAACCTGGATGAACATGAGGACATTATAGTAAGTGAAATAAGCCAGACACAAAAGGACAAATACTGTGTGATTCCACTCATAGGAGGTCCCTAGAGGAGTCACATTGATAGAGACAGAAAGTAGGACGGCGGGGCCCAGAGCTGGGGAAGGGGTGGGACGTGAGTGTTTAATGGGGACAGACTGTCAGTTTTATAAGATGAAAAAGTTCTCGGGATGGATGGTGGTGATGGTGACATAATGATGTGAATGTACTTAAACTGTAGACTTAAAAATGGTTAGGATGGTACATTTTGTTATGTGTATTTTACTGTAATCTAAAAAAAATTTTTTAATCAAAAAAATTCCACACACACAAATGCAGGCGCTCCAACTGCACTCCCAGCAGCCGGCAGCCCTGGGGACCGAGGCGGGGAAACGCTGGCTGAGGTGGGACCCACGAAAGGTCCAGTTTCTTCCCTGCCCTAAGTGGACACAGGGAGGACCGCCACACACTCCTTATTTGACAGAGGAGGGCGTGGGGTCCCAGAGGAGCAGGCAGTTGTCACTCTGGGTCTCACGGGGCAGCCAGGGTGGGGAGAACTGGCCTCTATGTGCCCCCAGTCCCCCAGCCGCACCGCCAGAACTGGGGCCTCCAATCTGGGGTCCGTGGCTCCCCTGGCTTGAGGCCCTCGGGGGAAGGAAGGGCGTGTCTGCAACCTGGCACCTGTACGTGGGGCCCCACACCCTCCCTGGACCAGAGCTTCTGCCTGGAGGTGCACGGCTGGGCCCCAGCTGAGAGGCGCTGGGCTGGGGAGCATGTGGTATGTGTGTGTGTGTGTGTGTGTGTGTGTGTGTGTGTGTGTGTGTGCATCTGTGTATGTGTATCTGTGTGTGCATCTGTGTATGTGTATCTGTGTGTGCATCTGCGTGTATGTGTGTTATGTGTGTGTACATGTACGTGCGTGCATCTCTGTGTGCATGTATGTTGTGCATCTGTGTATCTGTATGTGCATTTGTGTGTGTATCTGTGTGTGCGCGTGCCCTTTCCCCGAACTCAGTGTTGCCCTGGAGAAGGTGCACGGTGGAGGGCGCAGCACAGACACAGGCAGAGGGAGGATGCGCTCATACCTGGGTGGGCTCCCTATGACAGAAGAGCCCGGGGCCTCCTTTTACTGTGATTTTCTGTCCCTGAGGCCCCCTGGCAGCCCCAGCCTCCTCCGGGCCCTGCATCCCCAACCTGTGCTACTCAAGAAGGTGGCTTTGATAAACAACTCACAAGCTCTGTGACTCCGTCCCCAGCTCCAGCAGCCTCCCTGACTCAGAGCCAAGGGCTGGGAATGGTGGGTTCGGCCGGCGGCCCTGCTGTCCCCTCCCTCCAGCCACTTCCCATCGTCCCCAGGGCAGGCTCCCTGCCTTGGGTCCTCCCACAGCCGGGCTCCTACCGGTGGCACTTTCGTGGCAGAGCCTGGGGTCGGGGGCCCTTCATCCCTGGGCGGCGATGGGCTGTTGGGCTCCATGTCCTTCCCTGCAAGAGAGTGGCTGGTATGAGGACCAGGGCATGGCTGCCGGGCAGCCCCTCCGCCGCTGCCCAGTGTGTGGTGGGCGAGGCACGGGCACCGGCACGGGTGGCCTGGGCGGGGCAGGAAGCCAGCCCAGGCGGTGGCTGCGGGACCAGAGAGCTAATGAGCACCAGCCAGCGTCATGAGGGGGTGTCACCGCTGGGAGAAGCCCGGGTGCCCTGGGCGCTGGTGTGGCACACCCTCTGGGGTCTGTAAGACAGGCCCCCTGTTTTCAGTTCAGGGTACCCAGACCTCGCCTGGCTTCCCCCCACGCCCCAAATCCGCTGGCTGGAATTCCATTGCTCCCCAGTGCTGGGCTCTCAGAGGGAGGTGGCCAGACACTGTCCCCAAGCCCCTCCCAGCAGACTTCCTCTCCAGCTTGCTTGAGGGGAGGGAGGGGGGCATGAGGTGTCTGGATTCGACCCTGTGGGGAGCGGCTGCCTGTGCCCTGCTCTGTTTTTTTTTTTTTTTTTTTAAACATCGTTATTGGAGTAGAATTGCTTTACAATGGTGTATTAATTTCTGCTGTATCACAAAGTGAATCAGCTCTACGTATACATACATCCCCATATTCCCCTCCCTCTTGCGTCTCCCTCCCACCCTCCCTGTCCCACCCCTCTAGGTGGTCACAGAGCACCGAGCTGCTCTCCCTGTGCTGTGCGGCTGCTTCCCACTAGCTATCTGTTTTACATTTCGTAGTGTATATATGTATATGTTACTCTCTCACTTCGTCCCAGCTTACCCTTCCCCCTCCCCATGTCCTCAAGTCCATTCTTTACATCTGCATCTTTATTCCTGTCCTGCCCCTAGGTTCTTCAGAACCACTTCTTTTTTTTTTAGATTCCATATAGCTCCGTTTGTTTTGAAGACGGTTTCTAAAGCTCAGGTTCACGGGCAGGAAGAGGCCATGGTCTCAGAGGAGGCCTGAGGCCGCCTGACGGGCCACTCCCGCCCGCTCCCTGTGGCTGGTGGTTTATTGCCAGGTCCCTGCAGGAAGTGGAGAAGCAATGACTAGGGGAGAGCCATCCTGACCGGGAGGCACCAGGGGCTGGGGTGTGAGCACAGCGAGGCCGACGCCCTCCCTCCCCAACCCGGACAGCACAGAGAGGGAAAGGGACCTGCCCGAGGCCACACAGCTGGGCTTCGAAGCTGAGGAGGGCCCAGGCTCGGCAGCTGTCCCCACCCGTGGCCCACGCGCCAGGTGACCGGGTTCCCATGTGGACACTGACCTGGACCCAGAGGGTCGAGCTCATTCTCTCCACCCAAGAGCAGGTTGCGGCTGAGTTTCCGGGGGTCGACTTTCTGAGGGGTGGAGGAGGGCGGACACAGTGAGAAGCGTCGTCGCAGAAAGGCCTCCTCCTTCATGGCGTGGGCGCTGGGGGGCTTCTGGAAGGAAGGAGGGGAGAGTACTGGTCACGCCTCATGCCGAGGCTGGGGCAGCCTGGGGCCTGGAGGGGGCATCCTCCACCCGCCCCGGCAAGGGGACCAGAGACCCGCCAGAGAGCCAGGGCCGAGTGGCCAGGGCCACGGTGTCTTACGGGGACCCCTGAGGTCCCCACTCAGGGGACGTCTCAGAAAAGGGACGAGGGCCCGAGGGGCCTGCGGGTCACCCAGGGAAGGCTGCACGACCAAGCTCAGGCTTTCCAGGGCCCACGGCAGAAGCCAGGCTCGACCGGCCCCGCTGGAAGTTTGGCTGTCACAGCTGTGGCAGGACCCCCTGCCCCCCAGGCCCGGCACTAAGTTGGCTCTGTAGGACCCTGGACACGGTGAAGTGGAGCTGAGGTGGGCCCCTGACCCGTGCCGGGCCACAAGACTTCCCCCGCTAGGGGATGGAGCTCCGGGGTGGGAAGACAGTGACTGGTGCACGCAGGGGAGGGGGCCAAGAGCTGCCCAGAGAGGGGGACGCAGACGGGCCAGACAGGCGGCCACAGAGCCCTCGGGGGAGCTGGCATGAGGCTGGGGCCGTCCCTGAACCTGGCCTGCCCATCCCACCTAAGGACGCCTCGAGACCCCGCCTCCTGCCGTCCCCTGCTTCAGCTCCCGGCTGGCTTTCTGATACCTGCACCCAAAGTGCCTTAACTCGGAGAGGAAGTGTGCAGGCGTGCTTACGGCGAGGTGCACCCGAATCCACGCTCCGCCCAAGACATCACCTTCCTGCTTCACAGCACTGCCCAAACCAGCGTCCGGTCCCAAGAGAAGCCGCGGCCCCGGGGGAGCCTGACGGCCCCGGGGGAGCCTGACGGCCAGTGCTTCAGGTGCCTGCCGTGCCCTCTCAAGCCCTGCCACTGGCCTGGTCTGCCCAGATCAGGAAAGAGGCAGCTCCCTCTGTCTGCTGCCCCCTTGCAGCCCCGCCCCGAGTGGGGCTGGGGCAAGCAGTTCCCAGTGGACGGCACCCCGCCACCGACGTCAGCCCATTTTATGGATGAGAAAATCATGGCTCCGAGAGCTGATGGCCTAGCCTTGTGGTCACGGCCTGGCAGATGCTGGCAGAGCAGGAACTCCGGCTCTGAATCCTGGGCTCTTTCCACTCCCTGAGGACGTGCTGCATAAAGGCCCAGTGACCGATTTCTAAAGGCCCAGGGGTACCTCCTGCCGCCTCCCGGGTGGCCTCCTGCCAAGCCCAGGACAAAGTTCCCGCTTTCGCTTTCTCCCCTGGCCCTGGGCCTTCCTGGGCGGGGCAGCAGAAACACAGAGCCTTTCCTGCTGTGACAGGTGGGCAAGTGGACCTGGGCGGGGCTTCAGGAGTAGGCAGGGTGGCGCAGGGTTCCGTCGGCAGCCCCGGAAACTCCTCTGTGCTCCCTGCCCAGGGGTCAGAGTGCGGGGGGCTCCAAGGCTGCAGTGGGCCCAGGGGCTCCACCCTTCCTAATCACTACCGTGTCACCCGGCTAAGCTTGTTACCTCTGCCATTTCACAGAGAGGGAGACTGGTTTCAGAGAGGTTGGGATTTGGGGCCCCAGGTCACACAGCTATTAATTGGCGACAGCTGTGCTTGAGTCAAGTAGGCTGATGCTCAATCCTGGCCCGAGTCCCCCCTCTCACCAGTTCAGCTTAGCTTCTAGCAAACCCACTGTGGGGAAGGAGAGGGCGGGAGTCTGGAAGCTCAGCCCCTGCTTGCAGAGTCCCAGTGGTCACTCACTGACTCCCCAGGTGTGTCTCAGGCCAGGGAGCCAGGACCTGAGAGGAGGTCCACCGCCTTCTTACTCATGTAGCTGAGATCTTCCAAGCACCCGGCTGGCAGCCAAGGTGAGTCAGACCTGCTCCTGCCCTGGAGGCCCCAGGACGCATGATGAGGGATGACACAGGTAGGGCCTCCTCACCTGGAGCTGCATGTCTCTTAGGGGTTGAGTCTTGCAAACTTGGGGCAGGGAGAGGGGCTCCTGCCCACACAGCTCAGCTCCCCCATCTGGCCACGCACCCTGGCTCTACCAGGGCAGGGTGGGGAGGCACAGAGGTCACTGGCTGCCTTTCTTCTCTCCCAGCACAGCTAACAACCAGCGACCAGCGGGCCCCACCATCTGCTCATATACACCATCCTCCCTTCCACCTTCCCTCCCTCCTTTCCATCCATCCAGCCAGCCAGCCATCCACCCATTTTCCCACCTGCCTATCTGTCCATCCATCTAACCTCCTAGCCATCCATCCATCCATCCAAACATCCAATCATTTAACCATCCATCGATCCATCGATCCAACCATCGATCCATCCGTCCGTCCGTCCGTCCAAACTCTCTTCCCTTCCTCCTCCTCCGTGATCTCTCTTGTCAGCAGAGCAGCCTGATTTCCCTTCCCCACTTCCTTCCTATTTGCCCAATAATCAGATACATCAGAGGTGACATCCAAATGGCTGAACAGCTGGTCCAGAACAGACACCCACAAATCCGAGTGCAGTGCCGGCGTGCACCCGTGGATACCCCCTCTGTGTCCTGACACCCCACACCAGGCGCGGGCCCCCAAAGGCCCCCCTCTGACCCACTCGGACAGCGAGGTGGCCCCTCTCCTTCGGCAAGGCCTCAGGGTGTACACGCAGCCCCTTGGCCTTCCCAATGCCCACCCCTGGCTGCTGTCTATGATCTCACTTGGGGTCAAGGATGGGGAGATGCTGCTTCGTTCATTTCAGAGCTAAATCCAGGGCCCCTCTTGCCAGAGGCTCCACACTGCATTTAGAACACAGTCCGGCCTCTGTCTCCTTGTCCCTGTTTTCCAGGCCATCAGGACCCCTGCCCGCTCCTCCCACCTCATTCCCTGCCTGGCTCTGTCACCCACTTGCCCCAGACACACTGGCCCCCGTTATGTTCCTTGAACACGCTAAGCCCGTGCCCACTGGGGCCTCTGCTCTGACGTCTCCCCCCGAACGCCCTCGCCCACATCTCCGTCCGTCCGTGTGGCTGGGTCCTTCTCAAATTCCACTCTCCGCTCAAATGTCACTTCCCGGAAGGTTGCCACCCCTCTGTCTCGCACAATGCCACATCCCCGTGGAACAGTCCAAGTTGCTGGACTGTTGCTACTATATTCCTTCTTCTGTGTCAACTTTCTTCCACCCCAGGATGCAAGTTCCAGGAAAGGGGACAGCACTGTCCCTCCCATTTGCTGCGTCTCCCCAGGGCCGGGAGCAGGGACTTGCAGCGGGCGTGGGCGCCACTCAGCTCCAGCGCTTGGGGACCCCAGAGCCTGGGGTGAATGAAGGCAGCAGAGCAAATGCCCCTGGGCTTCGTCCCTCCTTCTCTGCAGGTTAGGGGAGGAACCTCTGGCCAGCGTCAGCTTGGGGGCCGATTTTCACGGTAACCCTGGTGAGGTCCCTGTCCCAGGCCTCCTGCCATGCCTGGTGCAGCCGAGGACTGAGGTCCTGCCCTCCAGGCACTGGCAGGAGGCAGGAGGAATCCGGCACCTGGCGGGTCTGCGGCCCCTTGGAGGCTCCAAGCTGGGAGGACCGTCAACCCGATGCTGGGCTGACCATGACCTTGTCTGCTGCTCTGGACCTTGCAGGGAAAGCTGAGGGCTCGCAGCCCAGGGAGCACAGACCCGTGAGGATGGGAGCCAGTCCATGAGGATGGAGGGACGATGGAGGGAGGTGGATGAGGAAATAGACTCCCAGGCTGAGCCAGCAACTAGGGACCACACCCGCGGCGGGCAGCTCTCTCCCTCTGTCCCGGCCTGGGCTCCAGCTGCCCAAGGGCTCAGGGCTCCAGCTGCCCAAGGGCTCAGGGCTCCAGCTGCCCAAAGGCTCAGGGCATGCTCTCTCTCGGCCCAGCCCTGGGCCCTTGGAGCCTGGATTCTGCCCGCCTGAGCCATCTCGGCCTGCCATGTGCCTTGCCCTCACTGGCCTCCCCAACCCCTGACGGCTGGCCTGTGCCCCGACCACAGTAACACCCCTCCGTTACCCTTGGTTACTGGGGTGACGCTTGTCTGTACATAGCTCGCCCTCGGCCTACAGTTGCCCAAATTCTTTCCCCCGCTGCCATAAATGAGGCTGCTGTGGCTTCACCTGGCTCTCATTATCATGAAGTCCAGGTGTCTGAGGGGACACCGCAGGGCCTGGAGGAAGGAGCCCAAGGGCACCCCGACACGGTGAGATGGCCCCCGACACAGCACGTGAGGGGACCTGAGCGTGAGGGGCCCTGACATCCCTGTGCGGGAGCCTTGGGTGTTTCAGCAAGAGGGGGCCCCCAGCCCAGAGGCCCCCGGGCCCCCTAAGGGGGAGCTCATAGTGGAGGCCAGGAATCAGGAGGAGGGGCGGCAGCTGGGACTGCCCAGCCCTGGCGGAGCCTCGGGGGAGGGCTTTGCAGGCCTGGAGCTCAGCAGGGAAGCCGCTGCAGCCCCTGCTCAGACGCAAGACCAAGCCAGCCCCGGGGCTTGGGAAGGCGTGGCAGCGTTTCCCACGCTGACCTGCAGGGCTGAGGGTGCAGGCGTGGCCAGCTTCCTGTAGGCCTTGGCAGTGACGGCACCTCCGGGGGACGGTGGGCTGTGGTTTGCTGCCGGAGCCCTTGCGGCCCACCCAGCAAGCAGAAATCCCAGCCCTGGAGACACACGTACCCCTGGGGACAAGTCCCCCGCCGCTGGGACCGCCAGGTTTGTCCGTCTGAGCAAGCTCCTTCCCATCGAGGCAGGCGTCTAGGCGGGCCCATCCCTCGGCGCGCAAAGCTCCAGGACAGGCAGGGCTGGCCTCCCACCACTCCTTCTCCCGGCTGGTCCCCGCAGAGGGAAGGAACCCTGACCCTGGCTCACCCTGTGTGGCTGCCCTTCTTGGCCACTGCTCTGTACAAAGGCAGACCCCGAAGGGCCTTTCGGGAAGGAGGGGGGCAGGTACCAAACCTTTGGGAAAGGAAACACTTAGAACTTGGGCCTGGGGTGGAGAATCACTGCCCGACGCCAGGCACGGCTCT